CAACAATATTAGGGTTAATTGCAATAGTTTCTGGGATAATTTGTTATCCAGTATAATTAATCGTGACAGACCTAGGTCTGAATTAAACCCAGATGTTGTTAATGAACCTATCAGAAACTTACAAGGTCATCGCATCATCAAAAAAAAGGTGCAAAGGCATAGCAATAATGCAGATTCATTGTATGTAAGACTTGAACATTATCTATCTATCTATCTATCTATCTATCTATCTATCTATCTATCTATCTATCCTAATCCAGGCCACGGATTAGAAATGCATTCTAAAGTAAAGTTCTTTCTGTTACATGTCTTGGTGGTTAATTGATTTTCACCATTTCTTTGAAAAAGTCTAAAGAGAAGAAGGCTTATTTCCCCCCGGCCCATCAGTTTTTCTTGCATAACTCATTTGGATGAGAGAAGCCCTGACACATGACCTGGGGACAGCGCACTGGTGCGTGGCAATGGTACATGAAACTCTGTCACCTCAGATTAATGTGAGAGGGAGAGAGAGAAGGGGGCAGAGGAAGAGAGGGTGGCAGAAAGTGGTCACTGTCAGCCCTCTCACTCCCCCTACAGGACAAACAAATAAAGAGCAGTCAGTGAGCCGCAGCAGGACGGACACACAGGTCAGAAAATTTAAACAAACTTTCCAGACTTCCTCAAAATTTAATTTCATTAAGGAATAATTTCTTACCTAAGCAGACCTTATTTTTACACATCAACTTCCATAACAAGATTTCAAACCTTCTTTCTGCTTTATTTTATGTTATTTTACTGCCATTCTAGAAAAAAACAGCAAACACTATACTGCACGTCATGTTAGTTGACCATTTTCCAGGACTAACTTTGCCTCTGGACAGCATAAAAATAATTTGACGGAAAGATAAGTAAAGTGTTGACTATGTTTATTAATTTTAAAACTTCTGATAAAATATAGAACAAAGATACAAAATACACATCTGGATTTTTGGCACATGCAGAAACAATAGATCCACCCAACTTAAAGAGCTAGTAGCATAAATTTAGCTGAAGACTTTACTTGGGTGGCATTAGTTCTCTGTCAGGGTTTGCATATTAGTAGTTGTGCAAAATTTCGACACAATCTATTTTTTTAATCTTTCGCACATTGTACATTGTTAAATATATTCACACATTTTAGTTGTAACACTGAATCCAAGTTTTAAACTTATTTAAAGCTAATCCTTAAAAGTGATGAGGGTTTGAACCAGCAACCCACTGGGTGCAGAACAAACTTCTACCTCCTGAGCCAGGCAGAAACATGTAAAACTCTGCAACCTTTCTGCTTCTGCATGATGCAACAGCAACGCATTCACCTGGTGCTGCTAATCAAAGTCAGCTCATTAATTGATGATGATCATTACTCTGTAAAACCTCTATTGAAGAGGTTTCTAGATAAAGGTTTGTGAGGTTGGCAGACATCATCAATGACCTTGGAGAAGCAACTGTTGCTGTCTATCAATCAGAGAAAGGTCATAAAGTTCATTTCCAAACCAGTCTATTTTTCACTTGTAAAAATGTTTTACAAGTGCAGCATGTTCAGGAAAGGTGCCAATCTTCCCAGAAGTGGACACCCTAGAAAATTCACTCCAAGGTCAGAGCGCAAAAATGCTCAGACACATCAGAGAACACCGAAGAGCTTCAACTCCACTTTTCAGGCCTCAGTTAGCAGGTTAGAAATTAAAGTTCATGAAAATAACTGAAAAAGTTGCTGGGATGCACAGAACGGTTTGGGTTTCTTTTGCAGCTAAAGTCCATAAACTCCCATGAACACCAAAGTATTTCATGCTCAAATGTGAGACTGTTTATCCAACAGACAAAGGTTGGCCCAATCTGGTTTAAAAACTGGACAACAACCAAAGTTAGTCAAAGTCCAGACCTGAAGATGTAACAGTTTGTTTTGAGATCATGTTTACAATATTTAAACCATGTTTTTTTTTTTTTTTTGTTATCATCATTGCACAACATATTATTATCTCTAAGTAATGAGATTTGATTACAGGAAGAGAAACCCAGATTTTCAGCATCTTTATACTCTTGTCTAAGTAGAACTACAGCATTTTTCTTCCACAAAACACACCTGAAAATCGTTCAACCACTCCTGCAAGGACACAGGGGACATTTAAGCTATAGTTACTATTCCAGAAAAAAGAAAGGAAAAAAAAACGTGTAAGTTTAAACAGTTGAAAAGATGTATATGTTTAAACCTTAAAATAACATTTTGACCTACAGCTTTAAAACTTTCCACATCCACACAACGCATCTCATCTTGGTATCTATTATCTTGGGTTGATGATAATGTGGCAAAGTTCAGTGAAGTGAAAGCTGCAGGACCCAGTAGTCACAGGGGCCACGCTTAACACCAATATCCAGAGTGACATTTCTGAGACACAACAAAGGAGTCTCATCTTCTCCCTGAAGCAACACCTCCACTCTTTAGTTCAGAAATCTTTCCTCCATTTTTCTGATGGCCATCACTCACAGAAAACAATTCAGAAAAAGGGCTATGAGGTTTCCTGTCAGTCATTCAAGACTGAGGGATGCAGGGAGAATACAACTATGAGCAATAGAGCAGGGGGTAAACACAGAGATGAGACAGAGAGAGGGATGACAGGGAAAAGGGCAAATGCCAGAGAGGCTGATAGGATGGAACGACAGAGATTAGATGGAGAAGGGAGATGAGAAAAATATGTAAGAGTGATAATCCGATATGTGGATTGAGCCCAGAGGTGTAGGAGATACAGGAACCAGCAGGAAGCTCACAGGTGCTGCTGCGCGTTGGCGACAAGCATCTGAGCGAATCAGGGAGGTGAAAGGTTCATCTCAAAGATGGGCTACTAAACAATGCTGGAGAAAATAGATGTTTGCTGTGGAAATCTACAGAATGATTGCTTTTTTTTCTGTCAGCTAGCTACACTGAATGCAAATAGATTGAAGAGGGAGGAGGAGAGAGACGGGCCGCTCCGCATGAGCTGACTGACAGCCATGAATATTTAAACGCCTCTCGCCGTCGCTGAGGTGACGGATATCAGCACGTCAGTCCTGCCTCCGATCCGTTCGCAGCTGCTGCATTATTGGCACAATTAGATGGGGATGAGGTTCTGATTAATTGAATCGGGCTGTCTGTTGAATCCTCCCGGAGCAGCACAGGTCACTTGTCCTGATCACAGTGAGCTCTCTTCCTCTGAGTGATTACAAGCTGAAATACTAATGGCAGGCGTGCACACACCCACACATGCTCAAACACGCACACTGACCACGTTTAGCCATTAAAAGATTCGATTTAGCATCGACAGCTACAAAATCCAAACATATTTAGGTTGATTATGCAACTAAACTAGCATGCAGGTAAGAAAAAATAAACCCAATCTGTCACCTCATCCTCACAATGAAAACAAGCCCCACTGTGGCTTTATGATGTGTCACATTAAAGCAGATTAAAAACTGCATTAGCATATTCATGGTGTAGAACCATAACGAAGCTGTCAGGCCTGCAGAGGTGACCTATGGATTTATAAGACCCTGCTCTATTTCTGCTGCAGCTCCCAGTGGTTTTATAGTGTGTGAAACTGCAATACCAGCCCCAAAGAAAAGGTACTCACTTTAATGATTTTCTGCAACACCTTTGGCTTTGATTTTCAGTAATAATTGCAGGTGTCCAGAACTTCCCAAAACGGACATGTTACTGCGTGTTCTGGCAGCCTCTACTGCTGAAACTGAACCAAATCTTTGCTGGACTGGAACAAAGATCCTTGGAGTTGTTTCATTACAAATGTGCATGTTGTGTTATAATCATTCCACCTGAATAAAAAAAGGTAAAAATGTCACAGATTGAATAAATCAGTTTTCTTTTAACTGTTTCTGAGACAGAGGCAAAAAGCTGAAGAACAGTACCCTCTCCTGGCCTGAACAGCAAGCAGAGATTTTTATTTACACCAGTGGATGAGAGATCTATGTCTGCAAACACACGAGCTGGAGAGCAAAAATTAATCACGTTAATGAGCACTAACCTGAGAAACAGACGAGAACTCGGAGAATAAACGTAACAAGCTCTCTCCCCTTCTTCAGTAAATAAATCCTTTGCTTGTTCAGCAGCAGCTACCTCTAAAACATTCCCAACCACACATATATCAGATTTAAAGTTCAATTTAATTAGCAAGCTTCTGGTGATCGACTTACAATGAAAAAGAAGTAATTCAAGCTTGAAGCGGTTTCCCCTCTGGAATACTTTACTAACAGAGGAGCAAATACAATAACAGTTAAGTTTCTCTCTTAAGAGAAACCTCTTTGCGTTAATAAGTCCGTTCATCATTTTCTGACTTACAATGTTATTATTATATCCCCAAAACAAAATCAGAGTGCCAGGAAGTCTCTATAACTTTCTAATTTTCAGCAAATCCAGCAAAGTCCCAGCAGCAAAAAAGCTTCACTTTACTTGTTTTCAGAAGCTCAATTTTTACCGTCTCTTCCAACTAGCAGAAAAATTATGGCTAAAGAAGTTAATTAATTTGGCACATGTGAATACTGACCTGCTCCAATATGGAATTTATGTATAATAAGTCATATTACTCATTTAACTGGGAGGAGATTTCCAGCTTTTTATATGACAACCGTGACAGATAAAACACAATGCAGTGGACAAAATAAGCATTTGTCTGCTTGTGTGTGTGTGTGTGTGTGTGTATATATATATATATATATATATATATATATATATATATATATATATATATATATATATATATATGTCTGTGTGTGTGCGTGCGTGCGTGTGTGTGTGTGTGTGTGTGTGTGTGTGTGTGCATACGTGCGCGTGTGCGCGCGTGTGTGTGTGTGTGTGTGTGTGTGTGTGTGTGTGTGTGTGTGTGTATCAAGACAGGATACACTGTCCTGATTTCTGGACAGGAAGTGTGTGAAAAAGCAGACAGTGTTTAGAAGAGAAATACATCATCAGCATATTCTCAACATGTAGAACACCATACCTCTTCCTGGTCCAACATGTTGTACTGATGTCCGGAGCTCACACAACGACGAGGGTTCCAGCGGTCGTGGGGTTGACGGTCATGCAAGGGGCGGTCGTAGATGGGGCGCTCGTGCAATGGGTGGTGGTAGGAGGGACGTTCGTAGGCAGGACGGTCGAAGGATGGGCGATCGAAGGAGGGACGTTCAAAGGAAGGACGCTCGAAGGAAGGTCGCTCAAAGGAAGGACGCTCAAAGGAAGGACGCTCAAAGGAGGGACGCTCAAAGGAGGGACGATCGAAGGAGGGACGATCGAAGGAGGGACGATCGTAGGAGGGACGTTCGTAGGAAGGACGTTCGTGTGAGGGACGGTGGTAGGAAGGAGCTTGGAAGGAGTGGGCTTGGGAGCGATGATGGTGGTGATGATGATGATGATAGGAGGGGGGGACGGCACACCTTGCATCTGGAAAAAGGAGAGAAGGTGGGAGAAAAGGGGAAGTTCGGGGGACAAATGGAGGGGAGGGAAGACAAGGTAAGTGAGGATTTTAGAAAGGAACAGAGTGGCACTTTCTACTCAGACATATTTAGAAAGTAATGAAAAGATCAGGTTATATGCATGCAATAGTATATGTGACAGGTTTCAAACTACAGGAAAGAACACGAATGTGAAGGAAGATGAATGATAAGGAGAACATTAAAGCATTACAGGCATGAAACAGGTTAGCATTTGTAAAGTGTCAGAAGGTGAAAACAATCCAGAACATAGCCTCTCACAACAAACTCAAACTTAATGCATAAAAAAATACCAAAAACATATTTTAGAAATGCATAATTTTAAAACACAAAACCAGTGTCTGAATTACTCACAGAATATTAAAACATATCTTCTGTATTTTCAGATTTCACATATTAACTAAGCCTACACATTTTCTGCCATGTCAAAGAATATAGAAAAGTTATTTGGGATTGTATTTAAATTAGAGATGAAAGTTATTGATTGATTAGTTAATCTAAAGTTGATTGATCTTATCAATTGACAAACTTTTAATTGATAAGCAGTCATATTCCTTAAAAAGTAATGTTTTCTCTTGTATCAAGGGGACCGACCGCTGTAACATGAAGATCTACATTTTTAAAGTATGCTGAATTTTAAAAAAAACAACATAAAATTGAATTTTAACATTAATTTGTGTCAGCTGTGTTAAATACTGACTGACTAAAAAAAATGTTTTCTCACATTATTAAACTTAGACATTTGTAAAAAAAAAAAAAAAAAAGGTTGCTGAATGGAAAAATAAAAGATGAAAAAGAATACAATTTGCAGCTCGGCATAGTGAGTGCTATTACGGTATAACTTAAGGAGCTTGTCAAGTGTATATTTCAAAACATAACCACATTAAAATCATTTTTCATCCCACCGGAATCTGCTTGGACCGTTTGTCTGTCCTGTTGGGAATCCCTCCGCCGCCATTTTTACTTCTCTAATCAGCTGACAACCGTTATGGATGACCAGCGGCGCCCTCTTCTGGATGGGGGCCGCACTACAACACTAAAACAAGGTCTAACGTTATTAGTTAATAGATTTGAACTAATTTAAATCTAATAAACCATTAACCGACAATTACTAGTAAGTCAAATAATTGTTTGCGTCCCAAAATTAAATAAAATATGAATACTGGTAATTGTAGCACTGTTACAAAAGACAAAACATAAAAGTAACAGCTAAGCCAAATCACTGCATGGCTTTTCTTTTAAATATAAACTATTGTTAGCATGGCGAGCTTCCACAGAAAGTTAAAAGAGACATTTTGACTGTCTTTGAGCCATTTCTTGATTTATGGAACTGTTTATGATCAATTTCTTGGTTGTTGCTGGATGGAGGATGGCAGGTAATTAGTGTGATCGGTGTGTTAAGTAGTTTATTACTCTGATATTATTGAAGATTCTTGTAATATTTATAATTTATAGTCAAAATAAATAAAATCCCTTAAAAATTTGTGTTATGTGCCAGGATGCAAATTAATTAACTGTTAATTAAAAATGTTGGTGTTCTAAGAGGAATTAGTATTGCCCTGGACAATAAATCTTTGTTTATTCTATATAACACGCTCATTGTACCACATTTAACATATTGTGTGGAAATTTGGGGGAATAGATACAAAACAAATTTACAGCCATTATAGGTCTTACAAAAAAATCAATCCGAATACTACATAAAGTGGGATATTGGGAACACACAAACCAGTTATTTATCAAATCAAATATACTGAAATTCTGGGACCTTGTAATATTTAAAACTTCATAATTTATGTTTAAGTTTGTTTCAGGAAGAGTTTTCGTTTATCTGTGTGTGGAGTAAATGTCTGGAATGGATTGAATGATGAGTTATAAAAAAATACAAAATTAAACCAATTTAAAAAACTAATTAAAACAGAGCTTATTTCAAAATATGATATATAAGATGACTGCTTAATAGTCTATAATGTAATTGATGATATAAATAGTATTTAAATAATAATTGTACATAGTTAAACATCATGTAAAATGGAAACAAGTTGTCTCTTTTTGATGTTCTGAAAGTTAATTGATTATAAATTGATAGTTAGGAAAAGGGCAGGACATTATAAGATATTATATCTTCTACCTGCTCCTTTTAGAACAGAAAATATAAAATTTGCATGTCACATGGGCAGAATAATTTGTTTTACATTTTTATTTCTTAAGTTTGTTTCATTCTATTTTATTTTGTTTTCTTTTTTTCTTGATTGTCTTTTCTGTCTGTTCTGAATAAATAAATATGTCGATTTGTTTTACAAGGTAGTAAAACACTTGAGCGAAAGCAGAATAATTTTAATACATACTATGTATGCAAACCAAGTATTTATTATGAAAGGCAGTTTTAGGATGTGTAGCCTACATTTATGCAGCATCTACATAATGCATTTTATGTCTGAAAAACTCTGAGAAAGTTTTAAAATCCTTTTTATGGCATGAAGAATTAGGCGAATGGCAAAAAAGGTTCAGCTTCATACTATTAAAGTGTACCTAATAAAGTGGCCAGTGAAGTATTCACTCACTCATCCTTGAGATGTAAGGTCTCTCTCTCTCCATTTCCATCTAAAAATGACAACTGTTTTTTTTTTTTTTCTTTAACAAGTCCTACTTCTGCCTTGCCACCAAAATCTAATCATCTGTTCCTTGGCCTGCGGCCGTCCATCCACTAAAATTAGCAGAAATCAGTTATAAGTTGTCCTGCTGACAGACTCAGACAGAAATACAGAACTATAATCTTCTCAGCAAGGGAACAAATTATCTTCAGCATCATGTTTGATTCCGATGATCATTTCAGAAGGAAAGACTTGAATATTATATCTGATGCTTCACAATGAGAGGAACTGATCACACCTCGCTGAAGAGATTGACGTGAATTCTAGCTGTATGTTGAGTCTTTGTCCCATGTAAATAATAAGTATGTAAGAAAATGGGCAAAGAGACTATTCTTTATTTGCAACTGACTAAATCTGACAGTTTTATTGCACAGTTTGTGGGTGTTATAAATCAAAGAACATAAAACACTGTGAATATTAACATAAATACACCATATTTACAGTTTAATACTTTCACACAAAGGTTTTCTCATATGCCAAAAATAACTGACTTCTTGTAAACATTTTTAAGGGTGTGTAATTGTATTTCCTAACACCATCTTTGTGCCCCATTTATTTTCCCGGGACCTTTAATCTTCCTCAGTGTCACAATGGAGTAGAGAAAAAATTCCAAATAAAGGCAACCGTCGAAAGGCAGGTAGCTGATTAAAATAAACAACACTACCAAAAACCAAAGTCAAACTGTGTAGTAAACAATAACCCTTGATGTTTGGCAGCTAGTTGAAGTACAGGTGTGCTGACGAGTAACTGAAAGCAGGTGTCAAGAAGTAGGACTGCATGCAAAAACATCAGGAAGCTTTAGCTTGTCCTATAGCTCCACAAAGCCTCATTCATCACCCATCAGTTTAAATAGATGTGTTGTGAGCAAGTAGAACTTCAAATCCAAAATTGCTGTCAACCAGAGATCTCCAAAAAGCTGGCTTACCAACAGTAAACAGATGGACAAGAAACTATCTGGAGAGACTTTATGTAATAAGTGAAAACAAACAAGCCACTGTGACAGAAAATGAAAAGAATAAGACAGAAAAGGCCAGGAGATAGCAAACCCAAAAGAAAAACTGCATAAAATCATGTAAAACAAACAAGCATAAACACTGAAAAAACACAATGATGACACATGGCAAGTGGTGTAATTAGCAAATTAGGAAAGAAAGAGGAGAAAACAAAGAGCATCAAAAAGAACATTACTGTAAATAAGAAACTAATAAAGCAAATGAGAAAACTCTAAACATCAGAAGATTTCAGCAAAAGCAAACACACTGATGGGAACTGAGAAAAGGAAACAAAATACAACACAAACATTATTAAACCAAAACACTGACAAGGTTTTTGCAAGTTTTGGTGTCTGTTATTACAATAACATTTAGAAATGGAAACTGCTGGTCAAAGTTTATCAACGAATCGATTCTCCTCTCTTTTCCCTCAGCCATAAAGTCCCACTGCTTTAGTGTCTCAGTCACTGCAATCTAGATCAGGCTGCAGTGACTGAGGCACTAAAATCTGTTTAGACAGATTTTCACTCTGGCCATAACAGAGTTTCCTTCTGATTGCAGTTTCTCAGTCAGTTACATTGTGATTGGAGTTCAATATATTGTTCAGCTCTAATTGAGATGTTTTTAATTGAGACTCTAGAAGATGTTATGGTAATCATGCAAATGCAGAACAATATATCACGGATGTATCATTTTCACATGATTTCTCACCAGACATTATGGTTAAAGTTTTGCTGTCAGTTTTTCTTATAAGCCTTAAATCATGAAGCCAAGCAAATGGCTTGGCAAATGGGCAAGCAAGTCCTCCATCTCAAACCCTGTTATATATTTTACATATTTAATTTACTGAATTCCAAAGTAAATCCTGGCTTGAACCCTTTGAGAAAGACTTCTGCAGTGTGTGAGGGAGTCTAAGAATATTTCCCCAGTGGCTTGCTCCGTTTTCACTAGTGAAAAGTCAAATTCTCTCTTACAGCATCTGGAGGCCATCGCACAGGTCCGGCGTGAACACACATTCACACATCCAGCTGCTGACGAGGATATGGAGGAGCTGCTGTTTATCAGTAAGCACTGGAGTGGCAGAGCGCGGACACTTTATGCCCTGGCAGTGTCCACTGACCCTCTCTGCACACTGTTTTTCTCTTCTTGTTTAACATCTTTGCATCTTAAGCATGAAAGGGACAGACTAACGTTTTGCACTTCTTGAGTCTGAAGAAAGAAAAGCTTGGGGCTCACAATTCAAGACGGCATGTGCAGAATGTCATAATGCATTACATGTCTGCATTGTCATTTCACATGTTCTC